GTCTTCATTTTGAAAATGACAAAAACTCTGAAAATATACATGGGGAGCCTCCATCACAGCAGTAGCAGGGGTAGGAGGCAGCCCTGTTTATCTTGAGTTGGAAGACAAGAAACTGGTAGAGGGTGTGGAGAGCAGGGGATGGTGTGGTACTGAACTTAGAGATGGCCTCACACCTTTGGCTCCTGGTACCTCTTCCTGCACTTGATTAAGGCCCTTTCCTGCTGTGTGCTTGCCTTGCTCTCTGATTTTGGTGGTTCTATGGGACCAGTTGTGCCATAGTGGGCTGCAAACACTTCAGCAAATGTGTGACCCATCAGCAGAAGGAAAATTTCCTGATTAATTTCTCTGAAGAATTTCATCCTTCTTATTTGCAATAATAAAATAGTTGAGATAAGGTCAGATGCTATTTATAACCATCTCACTGCTCCTTGCTCCTTCTCTCCTGGGCAGTAAGCTCTGCACAGACACAGCAGGATTAATCCTTCATGGCACTGAACCTTTTATTTCCCTTGTTGTGCTTGCAGGCTCCAGAGCCTCCTTCCTCTGCAGAGCCCAGTGCACTAAGCCTTCAATACAACACAGCAGCAGTGGAGCTGTGGAAGAGTTTATAAAAACATTATCTGTTCAGCAAACCAGGGATTGTCTGCAAGGTTGGAAACTTTGGTTTCTAGGTCAGCTGAATGGTTTGAAATTTTTCATCACAGGCTCCATGCCAGGTTCATACACTCTGCAATTAACTGAGGTTATGTGCAGGTAGGTCCAGTCCTGGCGTGGTGAGAAATGCTGAGGGATCTGCCATGTTTTCCAATAAATAAACCTTACTTCTGTTCCCCTAAAAAAAAAGTTTTAATTGAAACTATATTTTACATGATGAAGAAACATTGATACAGAAGCAGATTGGGTTAGGGCACTTGGACACAGAATGCATGACAGCTGCCAATATCTGATATTATGTTCAATGCAATGGGTACTCTATGAAAAATAGTCTGAGGTCTCGGTTATATCATACCTGTGAGCTCTTTTCTCAGGCAGTCAGGATCTGTATTGCTTTGGCTACCTTCTCTCTAAAATCCTCTGACTTTCGCCCCTCTTTCATCCTTGCTTTTTGCCCTGAAAGCTCAGGATGATCTGGGAGCAGCTGAATACCTGTAGTTGCTGTGGTTGCAGCTGCAGAGTGTCAGTGTTCAGCACAAGCAGGTGGTGGTGGGAGAGCAGCCCTGGCTGCATGAGCTGACTGTAAAGCTGTGCAGTGCCTGTCTCACAGGCCTGGCACCCTGCCTGTTCCGCTTCCTTATCCCCACTGCCAAGCTCCAGAGAGCAAACCTAAAGGACTGTGAGTTTTGGGTCACTGTGGCTGAGGCCATGGTGCTGCTGTGAGGCTTTTTCCCTGGGGAAGGGCACAGGAGTTTGTGCCAGCGTGCTGAGCATCTGGCACGAGAGGGGCTTTGCTCAGAATTCATTTGTCTGCAAGGGGTGAAGGCAAGAGTGAATTCAGAACATGAGCCTGCATGTGGAGCTGAGCCAGTCTGAGGTGTTTGGGGCAGCTCTCAGTGATGAGGTGAAGCCTCTGGGTTTCTCTTTAGGGCACCCAGCAGCTGAAGTGGGGGTAAAATCAAGCAGCAAGTTAGGCATGTTCCAGTGAGACAGCTCGTTTCTTAAGCCGAGCAGGTTGGTGACTGTGGCATCACAGGTACAAATCAGGCTGCTCAGCATGGAGTTTGCTGTCTTAAACATACCTTGACAGGTACCAGAATGGCAATGAATGGTAAGGGTCAGTTAGAATTGTGCTGTGTGTCACCATGCAGCCCATGGAGGCTCCATAAAGGATTTTCTCAATGGTTATCAGTGAGAATTGGGTTCAGTTGTCTAGTGATGATCAAGATGCTCACTTCAGGTCCTTTCTCCAGCCTGTGTTTGTTCCTGCACAATGCTCCAGTTTCAGCAGCCTTCCTAGTCCAAGCCACCTCTGCAGGCTGGAAGCCACAATCCCACTGAAGCCCAGGCCAGCACTGTCCCAGCTGGGAGTGAAACTGAGCATTCCAGTTTGCTGAAATTCTTTCATCTGAGGTTCTGCTGCTTAAAATATTTTTTTTTATGAACCACTCCTAAATCTCATTGAGGAAAATAAACATCTTCCAGCATCACAACCCAGCAGCACTTACGTGTTGTGTTTTCCCCTTCTCAGCTCCAGGTGTTGGTATGTTAAGATCAAAATGGACAGGACAGGGTGTTCCCAGGGCTCTCTCAGTGCTGATGCTCTGATTTCTTGTGTGTTCTCTGGCTGAAATACACAGGGTTTGGTGCAAAGCTGCAGCAAGAGTCCAGCGATCTCATTCCAGTGGGGTGAGCAAGCAGGGCTTAGAGTACATACTGAGGTTGTGAGTCCACATTTGTCATTTTTTCCTTGCTCGTTTTCATTCAGCAGTTGTTGTGCAAACATCAAAATTTCCTTGTGTTACGTGCTTGCACATGCTTCTGGCCCCCAAGTTGCTTGCCATCCAAATAAACAAAATTACTACTCTGTGGGAGAAATGCTATTATTTTTTATTGTTATTAGTTAAAAACCATGGAAAATCAGGCACAAAGAAAACAAAATTATTTTTTTCCAATGACTGCACAGTGAGATTGTGACAGGGCCAGGAACTGAGTCCAGGTGTCCTGAGTCCCAGACCAGACCTTTAAGCACCAAAATATCCTGCTCCTTCTGAATTCAAAGTGTTTTGGCAAAAGTTTCCCCAGAGTGTTTCATAACTAATGTCAGAGCTAGACACTGAACGTGTCTTACCAGTTAGGAATTTTGCTTTTATACACACTCACTGACTTAAAAACTCTCCCTAACCTTAGCAGCTGTTGGCTTCTTCATGTTACTTGAATGTTTCTAAGGCAAATATGGAACGTGATAAATTGAAAAGCATTGAGTTAAAATGTTCTGCTCCGAGTCCACTTAGCAAACTCCAAAGGTCATCTCTGCTGTGTAGAGCCAGCAGGACTAGACATAGAGTGAGCCTTGTTTGAAAGGGATTTTCTGTTGTCTAGAAATCAGATTCGTCCTATTTCACAGGGATGGATGTTATCCAGAACTAATCCCATCCTGGGATCTCTGACAGTTTTTGACAGTTTGCTGAAAAGGATCTAGAGCTAAGGGGAAAAAGAACATCCCACAGGAGAGTATTGCAGGTTGTGTCTCGAGGGACCACTTCCCCTTCTGAGAGGTCTTTAGTCCCTTTTAAATCTGCACAGGCAGGGTGCTGTTTGTGAATAGAAATCTGTGGTGTGGAAGAATAAAATTCCCCCGGGCAGCTCAAATAGTGGCTTCTTAGCAGTCCTCTGGATCAGGTCAGCAGCTCACAACTCCCAACAAACCTTTTGTTCCATCTTGACTGTCTCTAATTACCAGCTGCAGTGGCATTCCCACAGACACTCAGCAGGACCTGAGAATTCCCTTTGTGAGATGCTCTGGTGAGTCCTTTATCCCACATCCGATGGTGTCCAGCTGCAATGAACTTTTCCAGAGTGGGATTATGTTGAAATGATCTATTTCAAAATGGAACCTATGTTTCTGAATAAGAATATCTCTTAAAAAAAAAAACCAAAACAACCCAAACTTCTGTTCTGGAGGGGTTTTGGTTTTGTATGTGCTGTCCCGGTTAAAAATTTCTTATAGTCATTTTTCATGCCTGCTGGAAAGCCAAGGGATTATTATGGAGAGTGGTGTCCTTTGGAAAACTCCAAATGAAAGACTGGAATAGATGTTGTTTTTGCAGTAAAATCTGGCTCCCCTGCATATGTTGTCAGTACAGAGATAATCCTTAAAAACTTCTGAAGTTTACACAAGGCAAATTTTTTGCGTTTCTGTGGGCACTGCAGCACAGCTGTGCTGTGGTGTGCAGGGGGGTGGGCTGAGATGCTGTGGCTCTCACCTTTCTTTTGGGGACATTCCTGTGTGCTTCCTGGGCTGGCTGTGCCCTGGAGCCACTCTGCCCTGCTGCAGAGATGTGAAGCTCATGCTCCCCTGCAGGGCTCTGTTCCCACCCTGCTGGTGGGGTTTGTCTGCTGGCTGCCTGTGCAGGTGAGCTGCTGTTCCATGTCCCATGGATGTGCCAGGGCTTGCTGTGGGTTTTGCTGCCAAGGAGAACACTTGGACTCAGCCTAGCCTGGGCTAGCATTAGCCTGGCCCTGGCTGACAGGTTTGGGTTGAACTGCTGATGTATCCCAGGGACCTGACTGCAGCTTGCTGGTACCCAGTGGTGCTGGCTTTCTTTCAGAAGCAAGTGTTTTAGAGACTTGTCTCATGCTAGGTCATGCAGAGGTTTCACCTGAACATCTGTTCTGCTCCTGATACTCCCAGCAGCTGCCATGGATGTGTTTAGCACTAGCAGTTCTGTTTGTTTATGAGGCTTTCTCCAGGGTGAAACTGATGTCTGGTCCTCAGTTCTGAATCTCTAAAGCCAAAATAATTTGGAATATCAAAATAAACCTCTCTTTATACCTCTGCCACCATCAGCAGAGTCTGGTCTTTTGCAGCTATACACAGCTGAGCTTAATAAATGGTCCTCAGTCCCTGTCTCCAAGCAGAAGCCCTCAGCCTGGGCAAAGCTCAGCCTCCAAGGCTTGTAGAGAGAGGAGTCTTTGCAGCTGCTCCCCTCCTCTCTCCATCTCATATCTCATGAGAGCATCTTTCCACCTGCGACTGTGCAGGGGGTTGGAGTAGCTGAGTTGAGAGGATGTGCTGCTGGAACACAGGCTGGATCCCATCAGCAGCAGACCCCATTGCAGTGACTTGTCTGGCTCTCAGGAGCTCCAGCTCTTTCCATTTCACATATATGGGGCTTTCCTCTCAATTCAGCTTTTTTTTTTAGCCTCTGCATTCAGGTTTTCCTTGGTTATCCCATCATTTCCCAATCCAGTGGTGTCAAAAGGATGTCAGAGGATGCAGCATAAACTGCTGTGTTCACCTTCTACATCACCAGTCTCACTTGGTGTTTCTCACCTTGTTGCAGCTGAACAAGCTGGAGGAGGCAGCAAATGCAGCTCACACCTTCTTCATGGCAAACCCTGAGCACATGGAGATACAGCAGGACCTGGAGAACTACAAGAGCACCTCAGGGAAGGCCACCTTGATTGACCAGGAGGCCAGGCAGCACATGGTGAGTCTGAGGCTGAAGAGGTGCCCAGCTTAAGTATCAGGAAGTCTGGAGAGGAGAGACTAGGAGGCCAAAAGAAATTAATCTATGAATGGGGAAATTCTTACCAATACAGCAAAACAAACTCTCCCTTTCTGCATTTTCCCTTAAGGCAAGCCTGCTCCTGCCTTCTCTAGGCACTCTGCTCTTTGGTTGCTACATCCCCAGCCTGATCCTTCTGTTCAGAGAGCTCTGGGGTTCACATGGCTGTGAACACACACCAGCAGACACCTTTGATGGAAGCCTCCATGACATCTCAGCTCCTGTGTGTTTCCTTTGACCTGAGTTCTCCCACCTGGGCAGGGTACATGCACATGGGTGGCTGTGGTGGTGAGGATGCAGAGTGGCAGGAGGCAGGAGAGTGTCAGCTGCTTCCAGCTCCACAAAGCAAAAGCCCAAGTCAAATGCCAGGGCCAGCCCCAACTTCCCAGTTTCAATTTCACAAGACTGAGGGGAGCAGGAGTGGCTGTTGGATGTAATTATTGGAGGTGCTCATTAGGGGCCATTTTAAAAAATGAGCAATCTCTTCTCTTGGCATTCAGTCTTGTTGTTTGGTGGGAAGGTAAAAACAAACAACAAAAAAGATTTTTTTAAAAATATAATGCATAATGTAAGAGTGGCACTGAGTATTCCCTAAGTATGGAGGATTCAGAAGAGCATTTAGGCAGGTTTATTAGGTTCCACTGGTCCAAAGTCCATCAGTGGCTTAAACGTGGTTTGGTACAAGTGGTTATATCTGATAGGTGTCTGGGGAGATTGTCCTGTCCCTGTCCCAGTCCCCTTGTCCCTTCCTTTGAGAAGCACTGCAGGATGCTGTGCTCAGCAGCATGGCCTGCTCATGGTTTGTGTTCTGGCTGCCTGCTTTGCAGGAGGACTACAGTGCTGGGGTGAGGCACTATGACAGGGAGGAATATGAGCTGGCCATTGAGCTCCTGGAGCGAGCCCTGCAAGGATACTACTCTGAGGATGAGGATTGCCAGCTCATGTGCGAGGGACCACAGAGGTTTGAGGAGCACGAGCACCTGGATTACAAGGCTGGTCTCTATGAAGCTATTGCAGGTGAGATCTTTTTGCATTTTTAGAGTTCTCACCCTTGGCCCTGAAGTGTTTTTAGTTATTGAGTTTGGGCCTTTGGCTGGATTTGTGGAAGTGTCTTCCCTCCCATCTCCGCTGCTGGTGAGTAACGCTGCAGGAGGCACCTGGAAGCCCAGAAAGTGCAGACTCAGAGCACAGTGAGCTAGAACATCTCATTTCGGTCCTGAACAGAAGCTGGGCTAGAAGAATTGCATTTCCAGATGTGTGGAGCATTTGCAGCTTTCTGTTAGAGCTGGAAGTTGAGGTGCTTTATCTGAACTGCTTCCATTTCCCCTGTACACAGTCTCACACACCTCGCTGGAATCCAGACGTTGCTGGCCTTTGTTTATGTTTTCTGTTTCTGAGAGCATACGAAGAGAGCAGCAGAGTTCTCTTGGCCGTGCTCCAGGTGGCCAGGAAAGTTGCCAAAAAGGCTCGTAACATGGATTTTCTCCCCATCCAAAAGGATGGATTTGTCATTAGTGGAGGTCCACCTATATATGATCTTGACTGAAATCTCTGGAGAGAATGGAACGCTGCTGTGTAATCTTCAGATTTGCATGTGTGGCTCTGAGCCAGAGAGGATTAAAACAGTTCATTCTCAGTGGAAATGAGATTACATTTAATTAGTTGTAAGGGAAGGAAGAGCAATAAATTAAGGTTTGTTTAGTGACAGAAATCTTATTTATCTGCTTATGGTCTTGGAGTTGCATCAAGCCCTGAAATCTTGCTTCTTATGTGGAAAATACTTCACTCAGATGCAGAATGTTTTTTGGGTTTGCATAATTCTGTTTGTGTCAAGACAGGAAATCTAATTGAAACAACCAAGAGGAGAAACCACCAGCATACCGGATGGGAAGCTGCCCTGGTGGGGCTTGTTTACCATGCAAAAAATAGAAGTATTGGAAAGGCTGACTTGGTACCAGTGTGGCTGTCAGCTGATCAGGCCTGCTTTTGGAGCCTTGAGCAGGACACCCATCAAGAGAGCAGCCTTCAGTGGCAAAGCAAGCCCAGCATCCTTCTCACTGGAAGCTGCTGCTCTTCAAACAGGACAAACTGTTCCTGTGCTGTGCAAGTCCAGTGCAGCCCCAGAGGAGGTGTTTCTGTGCTGGCCCTTCCTGAGCACAGGCAGGCTCATGGTGTTGCTCAGAGCAGGACATCTCCTGGGGGGGGACAACAGCCAGAGGGTCCCTGCAAGTGCAGAGGCTTGGCCATGTGTGCCTGGCCATGACTACCCCAACCCCAGGACCATCCAGGCACCCAAAGGAACATGGAGCTGAGGGAGGGAAATAAGATCCTTGGTGCTGCTGCTCTTCTGTAGGAAACTAGGTGGCTCCTTCCAGGACAGCATAATTCAAAGTCCACCCCTGGTCCAAGGCACTCAAGGCCCAGACATTTCAGTAGGGAGTGGGAATATGTAATATACCAAGAAGAGAGAGTTTAGGTTTCTTCAAACTCATTTCTTTTTAACCCAAACTGATTTGCTCTGCTGCTGCTTGGGGTTGAAACACTCTCACCTTTTCCCCCCAAGGACAGATACATTTCAGTGAATTGATTACAGTACCAAGAAAAAGCAGTACTTCTCATTGATGGATTGATTATTTCAGATCTAGGATGCTTAAAACAGGTTTAAATTACAACAATATGATTTATGTCCTTTCCTTTCTTGCTTTTCCTAAAGTAATACCCTGGATATGCATGGTAAGTCAGACAACTACTCAGACTACCTGTCAAGAGCCAAGAGCACATAGGCACTGTTCTGAGTTTCCACTTGGTTTCATTGCAAATTCCTCAGGTGGTTTTTATGGCAGCTCTAAGAAATGCTTTGGTAGCTGAGCACATGATTATTTTTCAAGCCTGTGTTTGTTTCTTAAGGTTTTTAATGGTGTGCAGAGACAGAGCAAGCAAATTAGATTCGTAAGTACATTGCAGCAAAAGCTCCAAAATGGAATCAGATGTCAGTGTTGGCTTTGAAACTGTACAGCTGGTACAGCACCTATACTATGGAGTCCCACTAATTAAGAAACTTTGTAAATGGCAAATATTTACCATGTGCTTGTGATTCTCTGGGGGGTGCCTCATCTTTGAGAAGCAGCAAACGGGGATTTCTGCTGCCCAGATTTGCACCTCAGACCTTTCAGACTGGCCTTGCTTGGCTGTGCTGAGAACCTGCACCAGCCCCTCTTAGCTAAACCTCCCCGTGCCCTCCGGAGCTTTCTTGCTGCAGGGAAGGAGAGGATTAAAATGAGCTGAAGGAAGGGAGTCTGGAGCTGGATTTCGTGTGGCAGCACATGTGGCCACCTTGTCTTCACCCCTCTGCTTGCTTTGTGGGTTTGTCTCTTGGGGCTGAAGTGCTACCTGCCACCTGCAGTCCCTGCACGCCGCAGCAGCTCCTGACACACCAAAGAGATGCTCAAGCTCCCTCTACAGTTGAGAGAAGGAGGAAGGCGTTTCCTAAAGGGGGCAAAAATGTAACTACAACTCTGTCAAATTGGCTCTGGGGAGGAGCCTGAGCTGCCGCCACATTTCTCTTCACAGAGAAGAGCAAGGCACAATTCTTCCCAAGGATTTCTGAGATTCATATTCTCTGAACCTCAGAGAAAGGGAAAACACAATTCTTATCACTTTCTGTGCCTGTGTTGTGCTAAAGTAGAATGCAATATGGAGATTGTTTATCCAAAGTGAGGATGTTTTGTGTCCTTGGCCTATCAGGGCCAGCTGTGTGTGTGTGTGTGTGTGTGTGTGTGTGTTGGGACTGTCGGCTGACAGTCAGGAGATTCTGTGCAGTGTGAGCAGTTGTGTGCAGAGTGAGTGCTTGGCAGATTGAATTTTGATGAAATGTATATAGTATAATATAATAAAGTAATTAATTAGCCTTCTGATATCCATGGAGTCAGATGCATCATTCTTTCTCCCTCACCAACGTTGGAGTTGCCTTTGAGTTCCAATATGAGCTCTTTCCCTCGGTGCACACTCACCTGCCAGGCCAAAGCAGTGTGAGTTGCACATCTTTCAGCTCAGGAGTTTGAACCTCTGTCTGTCCTTGTCTGGGCACCATTGCCATCCCCTCAGCTCAGAGCAGCTCTCCCTCTTTTCCTGGCAGATCACTACATGCAGGTCCTGGCCTGCAAGCACGACTGTGTCCGGGAGCTGGCCACGCGCTCGGGCCGCATCTCGCCCATCGAGAACTTCCTTCCCCTCCACTATGACTACCTGCAGTTTGCCTATTACAGAGGTAAAGTCCTGGTCCACACAGCACTGCTGAGTTCTATCCATTTTGTGCAAGTTCTTCCATATGGGAATAAGGCTATTTCCCCCAGTGCCCACACTACAGTGATGCAGAGGCACGGTCTGAAAGAGAAGCAAAGGACATTGGAAATGGTGTCTTCAAAAGTCAGGTTGACTGAAATACAATGAAGTAGTTTTATGAAGGTGTTTTAGATGATCAGTCAGGTTTTAAAAGCCCAACCTTTAGCTTAAAGATTACTTTTCTTTAAATAAATCATGCTTTTTTAAGGTCCTTTCATTTGCCTTTTAATAGTAAAATCCTTGGGATTCTTGTGTTTCACATTTTCTGAAATGAACTGATACATCTTCTAAATTAATAAATAACAGACATATGACTTGGGTCAAGCTTATCCCAAGATGCCAATTTTTGACAATTAACCAAATAGTTTAGGATTCGCAGCAAAGTTGCAGGAGTTGGCAGCGTGGCAAAATGTCAGGGGCTGGCAGTGCTGAAAAATCATGCCAGTTGTGTGGTTCTGTGTGCTATTTTATTATGTTTTGTTACATAAAAGAAAATAGACATCTGCTCTCTCAGGCTTTTGCTAATAACTTTTTACTGAAAAGGGCAGACTGTGCAAGGGTCAAAATTTCTACTAAAACATAAAGATTCATCATCACAATGGGAAGAAAGCAGGAGGAGACAGTTCATGTGTGGTGTACAGGCTTCTTTATTCCTCTGCCCAGTTAGAGGTTTGCTGTGGTGGGTGAAAACCCCTGGGCCGTGAGAGATGCTGCACAGATGGATGGGAAGCAGTTTGATGCCAGACAGTATCCACTGTCTTGCAGTCCTGCCCATCCATCTGGATGCAATTTGGATAACATCTGATCTGTGCATGATGGCAGACAAGTCTTGTTTCTGTGCCTCAGTTTCCTTGCTGGGCAAGTGGAGTGGTTAAGACAAAGAGGCATCAAAAAGAGCCCCGTGAAGTTTTGGGCTGCTGCTTCAGCTGATGGGGAGCTCAGGCTGTGCTTCCCTCCCTGCAGAGTCCCCTCCTGGGCTCTGTGTGAGCCCCCTGTGCTCTCCTGTGCCCCCCTGACCACTGTTGTGTCCCCCCAGTTGGTGACTATGTGAAAGCCCTGGAGTGTGCCAAGTCCTACCTGCTGTTCCACCCGGACGATGAAGATGTCCTGGAGAATGCAGGTTATTATGAGGGTCTCTTGGAAGGCACAGTGGATCCAGCCACCATCAAACCCAGAAAGGTGAGACTGAGTGACACCTCAGAGCTCTTGATGGGACACACTTTAACAAAAAAACCTGGTGGAAATAAAAGCAGCCTGGCAGCTTTCCCCCAGTGGGACCACTTTAAAAAGAGAAGCAGAAGTGCTGGGCTCGCTGGTGATGCTGAGCTGGTGATTTTCAGGGTGCAAGTTCAGAGTCACTGGTGTGGGGGAGACACTGGTGGACAGAATTTGCTTTAATGGGGACTTCAGCCTGGTAAAGCCTGAGCAAGAACAGGGAGGGCAGTGAGCAACAGTGTAAAGCCTCCTCTTGCCCAGTGCTCCGGCAGACACACGGAAGAGGAATGCAATGAAACACCAAGCAAAGGGCAGCATCTCTTCAGACAGGGCTGAGAAATATTTCCCAGGGGAGGCTGAGATCTCAGCATTACTCTCAAATCTCTTAGCTTGGAGTTCAGAGCTCAGCCTGTTCTGCAGGCAGTAGCTCTGCTATGACAGGGTTAGGCTGGGGTCAAATAACCAAACTGTGTGTGTTCCATCACCCAGCAGGACTGGCTTTCTCTCCAGTCTGGGCAGCCCTTATCTCTGGCCCTGGGGCTGCCTTCCTCACCATACAGAAGTTCATCCCATCCCATCCCATCCCATCCCATCCCATCCCATCCCATCCCATCCCATCCCATCCCATCCCAGTCATTCCCCTCGCACCATAAATAAAGTGTTGGCAGGAACTGGTTTTTCCATTCCTTTGGGAATTCCTTGACTTCCAGGCAAATCAAGGTGAACTTGGTAAAGTACTAAAAAATAAAAGCAAAATTATAAAAAGGAAAACAAGAAAAACAGTTGTTTTCCCTCACACAATGAATTTAGGAAAAGAAACCTGAAGTTGACAAAAACATTTAATTGTTTACAGTGTTTTGACGTTTTCTGTTAAAAAATGAATTTATCTTTACTCTGTACAATAGTTTTCTAGGAGAAATACCAGTGTTTGCAGATTTTTCATTCAAAATAAAGCCGCCTGATGGACAATTTCCAGCTGGCTATGCTTTGTGGCCCCCATCCAAGCACTCTGAGTGCATCCCAGGGCCAGGCCATGGGCTCCATGGGGGGAACTGAGGCACAGCCCAGCCAGGGTCCCTGCCCCACCAGCCTGAACTTGCCCTCATTCTGCAGCTGGAGTTTCTCTGGCCAGCTTTTGCCCAGATATTTCGAGGCTCATCAAGGTGTTCAGGAATTTCTGCCAGCTTTGGACACATGTTTTGGGGATTCAGGCTTCCTAAATGAGTTGCTGAACACCTTCTGTTGTGTATTGAGTGTCTCAGCCTTGTGCCTGGGGTTGCTCCAAGCATCCCTCAACCTAAAGAAACCAGCAGCATTGCATGAAGCGCCTCTGAAGCAGAGGTGCATGGCCACTGTCTTGCAGAAGCTGGCCATGTGCAACTGCTGGTGCTCTCCTTCTCTTTGCAGGAAGCCAGAGCGCTGCTGCGGCGGCACAAGCTGGAGTCCCACCTCCTGCGGGTGGCTGCGGCCGGCCTGGGATTCGCCTACACGGAGCCGGTAACGCCTGCTGTGCTGGGCCAGCAGCTCACAGCTCTGGGACCAGCTCCCCCTGCCCCTCTCCTGTAAATCCAGCCCTCTGTAGCTGACTCGGGAGCTGGGTCTCGGCCTGGTTTGTTCCCTGTAGGAAAACAGGGATGGCAAAGCAAAGGAGGCATTCCTGGGGTGAAGGGGAGGCGCATACAGCCCCATCGACATTTTCAATGTGGTGAACTCAGGCCATTCCCCAAAGTTAGGTGGGATGGAGCCAGAGAGGCTGGCTGATGTCCCTGGGAGTCAGGCAGAGCAGGTAATGCCCTGGCTTTGGCTGGAGCATTAAATTAAGAAGTTTGTCCTCTCTTTTCCCACAGAATTACTGGAACAGGTACGGCGCCCGCCAGGACGAGCACAGGTGAGCCACAGCTGAGCTGCAGCTTCACCATTCCCCATGGTGGGATCATGGTGGGTTACCAGCCTGTCACTCAGGTGTACTGTCCACCCACCTAGCACACCATCCTGGTTGAATTAGTGCCCTTTGCCCTTGCCATTGCAAACATTCCCACAAGAACCTTATTTTAGTTGAGTGCCTCAAAACCAGCAGTGGTCTAGAGGGATCTTGATAGCAGAGGCAAGTGGTGCTGGTCAGATTTGTTGGTGGAAGCTGTTGCTCTCATTACCAGAAAAGCAATGTTTGCTACAGGACGGGGTGAAGGCTTCAGCTTGTATGGCTGTTACATTGTAAAAAGTACTGATTTGCTTGGGGTTTTTGTGTGTTAGTTTCCAAAGGGAGCAAAAGTGCAAGCTGAAGAACTTGTGGCCAAAGTCATGATGTTCCTCTTCTCTTTTGCTCCTCAGCGTCCCATCAAGCATCAGCAGTGAACCCGAGGATGGGCCCCGGCTGTCCCTGACAAAGAAACCCATGCCAAAGCCAGATCGAGAGCTGAAGGAGGGTAAGGCTGATGAATATGTCTCAACAAAACTGGGATCTTTTTTCCTGTTACTAGAGACCTCAGACTGCAAAGGCTGGCCACTGGGCAGTGAGGGCCACTCCTATTTGAGGGAGTTCAAGTTTTGTTTAAGAGACAGACAAGTCTTCAGTGCTGCCACAGAATTTCTGGGTCTGGGGATCCCAGGGCACTGCTGTGCTCTTGGACTTGTTTTTCCACCTGCTGGGCTACTCAGTACAGAGCCCTGAGATGTGGAGCTGGGTCTTCCTTACCATGGGGAAAGCAAACCTGCAAACAGTAGTTTTCTGTCCAGGTGCTTTTAAGATCAGTGTGTTCCCTGTTGTCCAGGCTGCAGAAGGATGGGTGCTGGAAGCAGCCTGTCCTGATGCTTTGCTAAATGTGCTGGGTCTCACCATACTAGCAACCACTTCTCTTTGTAGACTAAGCTTATGATTTCATGTCTTAGCTCACATGAAATCACTTTGTTTATAAGCCTGTCAGCAGACATTTCATCTGATTTCAGCACATTTTCGGCAGCCACAGAAAATACCATAACATCTACTAAAGATAGGATTTTTCCCCTTAACAATTTTGAAAAACAATATTGTAGCCAAGCACCAAAGCAGAATCCTTGCTGCAAAACAACGGGGTCTCAAGCCAGGAGGTGTCTTGTGTCTCTAGTGAGCCAGCTCCACAGCAGCAGGCAATTAAACCTCCCTGTAATGCAATGGGTGGTAGCGCTTTTTGGGGAATTTCACAGCTTTCCCCAGCCCAAGTTGTGTCCAGCTGCTCAGTGTTGTGTTCAGAGTGTTGTTATCCCTTCTCTAGCTGTACATAAAATAGACAAATACCACAGGAAGATATCAAAGATCTTGCTTAAGCCAAGAGCTGGTTGAATTATATTTGTTGGCCTGTTTGCTGTTTATAACCCAGTAATTTCAGAGTCCTTCTTTCTGTTTTTATTTCTTTTTATGCTCTTATTCTGGTTTACTTGCAGAATGTTTTTGTTTACAAAGAAAACTGAATCCATCAAAAAGGAACTGGGATTTTTGTCCATCCAGCTTCTGCCTTTTTCTGTTGTCTTTTTTTTTTCTTTCTCTCTTTTTACTTGGAAAAAGAAAAGGCCGAAAGAGAAAAGGAATTTTAATTTTGTACTCTCCTGTACTTCTACCCTTCCCCCCTTCCTCCTTTCTGCCAATTCCTTCTCTCCCAAAAGTCCAAAGAATTCCTCAGTTTCTCTGGGGTGTTTTTCACAGAGCACAGACACAGGAAACAGGTCTGTCTGTGCTGGTACTCAGAGCAGGCAGAGGCAAGGTGGGAGCACACTGTCAGTGTGGGACAAGGGTTCAGTGTCCATGGCACAGAGCTGCCCCACTTGTTCCCTGGGAGGAACCAGGAGAAATGTTGGAAGTGTTGAGCAATGCCTTCTGTGTTCATCCCTCATGTGCTTATGGCTGGGGAAGAGCAGCTGAGCTGGAGAACTCAGCCCTGTATTGGAGCATGCCAGGAGTTTGGATTTGAGAATTCTCATTCTGATCCAGCTGCATTTGCAATAAGTGTGGTTATCAAGCAACAAAATCAGCACAGTGAACACCAGAAACATCCCATATTTTCCATTTCCAAGAAACCTAACTCTTCAGAAATAAAGCTGTGAGCTAATGACGGGGCTTGTGGGGTTTACGTGTCCTCCATAGGCCAAGGAGACCTGCCAAGAACACAGTTTTGACTCAGTAGACAGGAAAAGTAGAAGTTAGAAAAGCATTGTCACAGAGAAGTTTCCTTGTGCCACATGGTGGGGGGAACTCTGCAGCTCTGTTTCCTCTATTTTATTGCTTGTCTGTGACAACAAATAATTTTCTTTACAGTTCAGATGTATTTCAGTTTTTTCCTGGAGAGACATCTGGTTTAGGCTTTTATTGTTACCATTTCTTTCCTTTTCTTTCTTTGAGGAGATGCATGGAAGAAGCTTCAAAAGATGGTGGTTTAGGGGCCTTGCTCTGGTTTTTGGATCAGTCAGATTTGATGGGGATGGATTGAAACCTCTCATAAAAAGCTTGCAGGCAGAGGGAGGCAGTTCAGAGGCAAGATGTGAGGGATGGCAGGGACAGCCATGGAAGCTCCTTTGCCTCAGTGGAGGAGGATTATCCCGAGAGTTCTCTGGCTCACCCACTCCCTGCCCTCCTCCTTAGAGGAAAGCAGTGCTTGCTGCAAGCTCAGCACCATGTGAGGCTTTCTCTGTGTATGGCAGACAAAAAACACTGATGACAGTTGCAGGGGGTGGCTTTGCATGCCAAGCCAGCAGCATCCACACAGCACAAATGCAATGGGAACCTACACTGGTGTTGACAGCTGGGCTGGAGAGCCAAGTTAGCCACTGTCCCTATCTTTCCCTATGTCCCACTGGGGTTTGGTGTTCCCAGGCTGTGGTCTCTGCATTTGCAAGGCAGCTGTTGAGAAGGTAGAAAAATGCTGATGCTCCTGCAGCAAATTGATGTCATCTCCTTGTGTTCCCATTGCTTCTGTTTCTTTTGTGACTGAAGGGAGGCCACACTCTGCTGTGGAGCTCTTTGCCTATCACCACCAGCACACCTGGGTGGCTTCAGCTGGCCTCCAGCCTCTGTACAAGGTGTCAACAAGGCCAGGGCACGTTCAGCAGGATGGTTTTGTGTCTCTCCTCAGGGGGCCCTCTTCTCTACAGCGATGTGAAGTTTGTCTACAACTCTCAGCAGCTGAATGGCACCCAGCGAGTGCTGCTGGATAATGTCATCTCAGAGGAGCAGTGCCGGGAGCTGCACAGGGTGGCCAGTGTGAGTGGGCAATGTTCCTGGGCTGAGTGTGACACCTGGATGTGTGATCAGCCCCTGGAGACCATGGGCTCATGCCTTGCTGAGTGTTGCAGCTGAGGGCAGGATGCCTGTGGAGAGCAGGTGGATGCTTGTCCCCAGTGCACACCCATAACTGCAGCACGGGAGCTGCTGCTCCATCCTGGGCTGCAGGACAGAGCCTGTGCAGAAAGAGCTCTTTCCCCATGTTATAACAACCCAAAGGATGCTCATCCACAAGTCTGGCTGAGCCTTCTCATTCCCCATTAACTGAGCTTGGCAAGGCACTGAGGGTGGCTGAACATCCCCAGTTAGGAGGTGGGTGGTTGATATCCTGCATCTGTGCTCACAGAGAGCTGCAGCACCTTTCCACCCCAACTGACCTGGCCCAGCGAATGCAGCCCTGGGGGATTTGGGGAAGAGGGTGCCATGTACTTCCATTGCAGATCCCTCTCTCCTGACACGCCAGTTCACCCCTCATCTGTATTCCTGTTCTCCAGGGGATCATGTTGGCTGGCGATGGTTACAGGGGCAAAACCTCCCCCCACACTCCGAATGAGAGATTTGAAGGAGCCACTGTCCTCAAAGCCCTCAAGGTACAGCTCCCTCCTCCTTCTCCTCCTCTCCTGTGCCCTCCCTCCCAGTGTGCACATGACACTGACCCTCCCTTTGCCCCTCTTCTTGCCCAGTATGGCTATGAGGGCCGTGTCCCCCTGAAGAGTGCCCGGCTGTTCTATGACATCAGTGAGAAGGCTCGCAGGATTGTCCAGTCCTACTTCCAGCTCAACTCCACGCTCTACTTCTCCTACACGCACCTGGTGTGCCGCACCGCCCTCTCCGGTGAGGAGCAGGGAGCTTGGGAGGGCTTCAGCCCTCCAGGGGGGCTTTATGAGCTCAGAGCAGCTCTGTTGTGCTTAATGCTTAAATTGGTGGCCAAGGGCTGGGCAAAGTCAGCATCCCACAGCAGCAAAAAGTGGGACTGCTGTTCCCCAAAAAAGTAATTTCTGGGATGTCTCTTGGTTTTCATATCTGCAACTCTTCCTATTTTCTCCTCCCTTTTCTCTTGCCTCCTCTTGTCTGTCCCTTCTCCTTTCCACCCCAGCCCCAGCTCTCCATTTCACTTCCCTGCAGCCAGGAACAGGCAGAGCTGTGCAGATCTGAGTTCTCAGATGTTGCCTTTTCTCCCCAGCCATTCCTTTCCTCCTCCCACCTGTGAACACCACCTGCAGTGGGGCCAGGGTAGTCTCCCACCCCATGATGGGACCCCATAGAGCATGGCATTCCTATCTCATCCATCCCTTCTCCTTCCCCCTTCCTCCACATGGCCCTGCCTAGGCCAGCAGGAGCGCAGGAATGATCTGAGCCATCCCATCCATGCTGACAATTGCCTCTTGGACCCCGAAGCCAACGAGTGCTGGAAGGAACCTCCTGCCTACACCTTTCGGGATTACAGGTAGGAAGGAAGGGAAGGAATCTCCCCAGGGACCTCTCTCCCTCTGGCTGTCCCCCACCCATGTCTTCATGGAGCAATGTGGGATCTGTCCAGGAGGTGGGGGGTCAGCCTTGACCTCCCCAGTGCTCCCCTAACTGGGATTTCCCACTTGCTTCCCCAGTGCCCTTCTGTACATGAACGCAGATTTTGAAGGTGGCGAGTTCATTTTCACCGAGATGGATGCCAAAACTGTGACAGTGAGTTGGTGCTGTGGGCCAAAAGCTGTTCCTCAGCACTCCATGCTCAGGGCTCTGGGCTTCCCCGGGCAGCCTGTGGCTCCTACCTTGCAAAGAGCCAATACAAAATCATGCTGCAAAGGTGCACAGACCATCTGCTCCCTCCCTAGAGGCCGTGCCAAGCAGTAAACCTGTGGATTAGGGATTCTCCCCACCCCCAGTGCAGGCAGAGGGATGGCTGGTAGTTGTCCCTGGCCTGGAGGACTGCTGAGCTGCCACCCCATCTCGTGGTCAAACATGAGCTGGTGTTTCCACACAGATGCAGTGCCTGATCCAGGTCTCTTGTTCCAGAGTGGGTCACAGTGCTGGACATCAGACCCTGGGAGGGATGTGGCTCAGGCATGAGCCCTCACCTCTGTTTGGGGCCATTAAAGAATCTGGGCACCCACTCTGTGGTTGGACAGAGGTCTGGACACCATGCTGGGGTCTCTGGAGAAGCTGGAGGGTAGATTGTGTCTACTTAAGTGCCTGATGGTTGGTTTGGTTGGCAATTCTGCTCCCGAGGTCCTGCAGGACTCTTGGGGACTCTGCCAAGAGAAGAAAGAGGTATTTGATAGCCATGCCAGGCTTATCCTGGACCTCCCTGGAGTTATGCCATGGCCCCATTGTGCTCTAGGTGGTCACCTGTAGGCTTTGCAGAGACTCCATGCCATCATGTCCTTTCTGCACAATGTCTGCACAGCAGGAGCAAGCTTCACACCCCCCTGTTTACCCCACACATTTTGCCAGCCATGCCCAGAGCTCTACACGTCCCCCCGAGCAGCTCACCAGGTCCTGGGGTGATGCAGAGGGATGCCCAGTGAGGTCCCAAGCCCCAGAGCGTGGTGAGCCCAGCCAGGCCAGCGTGTGCAGCCCCTTGCCAGCCTGTTGTGCTGTTTCCCTGCAGGCTTCCATCAAGCCCAAGTGTGGGAGGATGATCAGCTTCTCGTCGGGCGGCGAGAACCCCCACGGGGTGAAGGCGGTCACCAAGGGCCAGCGCTGCGCTGTGGCTCTCTGGTTCACCTTGGACCCTCTCTACAGAGAGCTGGTGAGTCCCTCCATCGTGTGTGAGGGGAGTTGGGGCATACCCAGCATCCCACAAGAGCCAGGACCATCGTATTTTCTCTATTCCCAGTCGATCTGTTTTTCTCCCATTAAGCCCCCACCGCAGCACTCCCATGATAGGAGCTGGCCCCAGGGCAGGTTTTTCCTGCCTTTCCTGGTCCTGGGCACGCATTGCCCTTGGCCCGTGGGGTGCAGTGCTGGGCTGCGGTGCTGAGTGGGGCGTGGAAGGGCTCCGTGCAGGGCTGGGCTGGCCATTTCTGACACCTAGTGGCAGCAGCCTGATGGATGGGGAACTCCTGCAGAGCCATCCACAGCTCAGAGTGCTCTCACAGTCCCGCTGCTACAGAACATCAGCTCTGCCCCAACCCCTGCAGCCCTGCAGGGAGGAGGGAATCAGGCATTGAGGTGGAAAGGGATTTGATTAATTTTGCCCAGCAAATCCCCAGGCTCTCCCCCATCCTCTCAACTACACTGCTGGTTCTGGGGTAAAATCCTTGCTGTGTGTCCTCCCAGCAGCCTGAGCCTCACTGAATTAGCTGGAGCAGGCACTGAAGCTCTGCTGTTACCATTTCTTCCCTTCCCCTCTTGCAGGAACGAATCCAGGCAGATGAAGTGATTGCAATGTTGGACCAGGAGCATCTAGGGCCCAGTGAAATGAACATCAACCCAAAGGATGAGCTATGAACTAGGCCAAAGACTTTTTCTATTAAATATTTATTTAATATTGTTAATCTTATTAGAACCCTTCTATTTTTGTACAGAGATGCTGTATAAATTAACAGGTTAATATGATTGTGGAGTTTCAGGAATGCCTCTTCTGTGTTTAGCACAGCTTTTGCTGGAACCCTCATCCCTGTGCCAGCATCTCCTGGTGGGGCTGCCTCTGCTTCCAGCATTCCCTGTTTTTCTCTAGCACTTCTCAGGACTCAATTCAGGCCCACTCTACCCCCTTGTACCCCCTTGGAGAACCCTTTTTTTTTTTCTCAACCAAAAGTAGCTGCTTCTCTTTTAGCATCTGCTGGAGAAAATTCTCAGGTGTTCTAATGCACCAGTCTTCCTGCTCCTACTTCCTGCTGGGGGAAACTGGACTACAAAAACTGGAGTTATGACTGTCTCTCACCATTTGAAATATGCCTTTTACGGGAAAAAACAAAGGAAAACCCAAGTCCTAGCAAAATGGAGATTTCTCTGTAGCCATGTGAAGCTGGTGTTTGGGCATTAATTCTGAGCAGAGCTTCTGGAAATCAGCTGCTGAGCAGGGCCATGAGCTGTGCACAGGGTGAAGGGATGTGATTTGCAGCTGACTCTGGTGAAATAGGGTCTGTCACTCATGTTCAGTTCCTTCTCTTGCTGATGGCCTGGGAACTGAAGGATGCTGCTTCACACTGCATTCTTTGAGCTTCCAGCCCAGTCTGCTGCTGGTAGAACCCAGAGTTTGTAGTCATAATTTCTGGGACCCTGTTGGAAAGCAGCTTAGGAAGTTACAGTGCCATGGTGTTGGATGGTGATGGTGTAGCTCTGCCCTCTGGATGTCCTGGCTGCATCCTCCCATCCTGGCAGTGCAGAAGCAGCAGATGTTCATGGTGTGGTAGTATCTGTTTGCTCAGAGGAGTTCTGACCAGCCTGAGGATGTTGCAGTGAAAGCAAGTAGTTAAGTAACTGCTGCTAAGCCAGTAAATAATTCCTCCCCAACCATTAAATTTAGTCCTGTGTGTGGGATCAGAGCAGCCCCTATCTCAGTCAGAACAGGCACTGAATCACAGGATTTCTGCCCCAGACATAAGGGCAGCTTTTATTTTGACCCAAGAGCTGCTTCTGTTGCTGGAACACAGTTCCTAAAAGGCAGGTTTCAGCAATCTTTACTTGAAATTACTGCAAGGCTGCAATCTATCCAGAAAACACTACAGGGACCTTTGCTGCAGTTCACATCCTTGAGCTGCTTTGCTCAGCTCCCTGCTGCATTGGCACTTTCATCAGTCCTTTTCTACTCCCCTCTGCCAGTTTTGGCATTCCCAGGACTTAAAATCTGCCACAGAGAATTGTCTTTTCTCTTTACTCCTGTAGCTTGTGCCTGTTCAAACCTCCCAGGCTCAGAAGCCCCCTCTTCCCATCCAGTCACTGGCTGCAAAGGCTGTAGACAAGGATTGGCTTTCTGTAGAGACCTCAAAAGTTGCTCCTGGGCAAGGTAGAGGGAAACTCTGCATCTGGAAAAATAAATGCCCAGACTGGGAAGAGGGAACTATTTCCACCCAGAAAATGTTGGAAGAGTTACTTGCTGCATCTCCTCCAATGCTGCATCTGCAGAGGAAAAGGCTCTGGCCATTCTAAAGCTACCAGCATTGCTTATTCCTTTGTTGTTATCTCCCTTCCCTCATAGATTGTTCAAAAGATTCATCCCCAAAGAACTGCCCACAGGTTCCTGCCTTTGAAGAGCCTTCCCTGGTTAAGTGCCTCTTCTGTAAATGCTTAACTCCATCCCCCTTTTCAAAACAGCCAGAGGAAAAGCTGGGGAGAAGAAGGGGAGGGCAGCTGCTCACTTTGGAGAGCTGACCCCCATTTCATGGTCCCTCCATGTGCACCACACTGCTGCATCCAAGGCTTGACTCTCAATGCTGCACCTTCCATGTGGGCCTGTGCTGCCATCCCCCAGCCACCACTGCCCAAGTGCATCCTGCAGAGCTGCCCCTGTGCAGCCCCAGCCCTCCCAGGGGTGCCACCAGCTGCTTCTGCTGCAAGGAGAGGTGCAGGGGCTGGCACAGGTCATGGTTGGTTTGTTCCTGTGGTGGTTAGCCAGAGCTGTGTCTAAATCCAGGGAAAATAAACTAAACACATCTGGGCCTGTCTTTGTCTTTCTTCAGTCAAATATTAGATGGAGAGACTGGGGAGTTTGGGGTCTGTCTCATGATGGTACCTGTGCCTTTGGGGTTTCCTGCCTTAGATCTGAGAGCACAGCCCCCTCTCCCTGCTGGAGCAGTGTGGACAGTGTGTGTGTGTGTGTGCTTTTGGCTGCCTGTCCCTGTGCCTTGCTGTGCATCCAGCTGTGCAGAAGCTCCCACAGCATGGACCTGCTCCAGGCAGTTTGGTGAGCAGGAGGGACATTCCCTGTGCCCTGCTGGCTGTCCAGGGCCACGGCCACCCTGGTGAATCAGCCCTGCTGCAGGGCCAAGGAGCAGCCTCAGGGGATGCAGCATTGCAGGACTCACTGCAAACGTGCCCCAAGAAGGGAGAGGACTCTGGGCTGCCTGGGCCATGCTGCTCTGCCAGTGAGACCTGCTGGCAGCCTGGGCCACGCTGAAGCCAGGAAACAGGAATGCAGTGAGTCAAAGGCACTTCTCCTGTTTGTTTGTTTTTCCAGCTCTGCTCTGGCAAAATCTAGCTCAGAAGTGGATTTGTGTTTCTGCTGCAACAGCAGAGGTGGGTGCCAAGTTTGTTGGCACTCTGTAGCCTCACAGGAGCAAGCTGCAGAACTCTTTAGGGTATGCACCAAAATACAGCATAGGTTTTTGCATCTTTGGTATCCAAGTGGGATGGGTTGCCACCAAGGTGGCTTGGACTGAGAAGTGATTTTAACTCTTGGATTTGAGGTAGGGCCTGGTATCTGCCAGAGCTGTCAGGGTCACATCCAGAGTGCCTGCAGGGCACCTGCATCCCGGCTAAAAGAAAGCTGACAACAATACTAAATGTATATACTCCTCCTTGGTCAAATATGCCCCAGGGACAACCTAGTGCACTTATATTTTTGTTTCCTTCTACTTGGGTTCATGCTGTTACTCCTCTCCTGACCTGCCAGTCTGGTAATTGCTGTTTCCTAAAGCCCCATCATGAAGCAGCTCCCCAGGGAGGCAGTGCTTGCAGCCACAGCACTGAGCTCAAAACTGATGTGCATTTCAGAGCCCACCTCATGGCTCCCAGGCCAGCTCCAAGGCTTGCCCACCAAAGGGAAGCACAACCCATTTAGATGTTGGCCATGTGTTGTTCATTCCCCAGTTCTATCACCAGCAACAGGAGCCTTTTGGACATGGAGGTGGTTGAACCATGCCTTAGTTCCTTGTTCACTCACCTGTACCCTCCCTAGTAATAATAATAATAATAAGATATGTAGAGTGGGATTAGCAGGGTTGATTTATGACAGTCCTTGAGGGAAAAAACAACCTACCCATAAAGGAAACATAATGGAATTTAAAAGTATTTAAAACAACAACTGAGGTGGTTCTGTGTGTGTGTGTGTTTGGGTGTGGATGTGGTTTTGAAAGTGAAGCCTGCATGCTGTTAATCCATGCCAGGGGACCTTTACTCCCAAGGAGATTTGTTTTTCTTTCATGTCCAAGTGGGCCCAAGCCAAGTTCACTCAGCCCTTGCACAAGGCTGCTGCAGGTTGTGGGGGCACTGTGGGAGCCTGCTCTGTGCCACAGGCATGTCTCAGCAAAGGGGAGCCCATCATATTTCAGGACAATACAGATGAAATGATGCCTTCATTAGGGGCAAGATGGCACTTTGCAGTCAGGGATGCAGCTACAGAATGTGAAGAGCCAGTGACAGCAAAAGCACCAAGGCTTGGGGAGCAGTGGCTGACAGGAGTCATGACAGCTCAGCAAGGCACCTCATGCAGAGGGTAGGAGCATGGGAAACACCTTGTGTAAGTAAAGAACCTCCAAGAAAGGCCAGCAGAAAGCCTAAGGCTGAGCCCCCTTGGGCTGTAAATGCCTTATTCCAAGTGGCTGCTAAAAGCTTCTCTCCAGCCAAAAGCTCACCCCTGAAACCTCACCTGAAAATAAGACTTGGGGCTACTTTCAAATTTCTGCATCTATAATCAAGGCTGAAATACCTAAAGCTCTTTATGTCCAGTGGCTACAGTCTAAAGGAACCTGGACATTCCATAGGCATTAGCCTGAGAGACTTTCTGAGGCATTAATTTAAAGCAACTGAACCTTGCCAATGTTCTTGTGGACAGTCAGTCTTCAGCAGCTTCACTGGATGATGACTAATCCCCATTATTTCCAAGCTTATAAAATATGGTGTGTTTGGTCTTTTTGTATGTCCTCTTTATTTCCCAGGCTCTAGACTGATACCCCCAAAATACAGCAGCTCTGATCACCCTGTGAGCCCCTCTGACAAGCTCTGTCAGCAGCCAGCCTGGCTGAAACCCTCTGCTGCTGCCACTCCATCCCACCCCACAGCTGCATCCATCCCTCCTGCTGTGTCCCCACCCTGCTGCTGGCTCTCTGACCTGGTGATGGACAATTTGGGTGGCACCATCCCCACCGTGGGGTTGGCAGTCCCTGTGCAAGGGTGTCCCCACCTCAGATCTGCTGGGGCCATGGGTGGCAGCAGAGCCTGCTCTGGTTTGTCAGCTTTGCATTGCAGCTCAGCCATAGAAAAGAGTGGCAAAGCAAGGAGATGGAGTTTGCACTGAGCCCTGCTCATCCTTCCTGCTTACACCTGGGCAGAGCCTGGGCACTCACAGGCAGCTGAACATCTTCCCATGAAAAACTGTCATTAAAAAAAAAAAAAAAAAAAGGTTGTTTCCTCCTGTCCACGCCCTTGCCCAGCCTGGGGGAAAAAAGAACAAAAAAAACCAGCTGGCAGTGAGATAAAAATGGGCTAGTCCTGCTTTGGGAAGAATTATATAAAAAGAGGAAAGAAGTATGTATGTCTTTTGTTTCCACAACTGCTCCTTATGTCTACACCCCACTGTAAGAGCCACCTTTTCCTGGGAGAAGTGTTCCTGCTTGTCTGTGCATTGGGGTTTGACCCAGGCCAGGTTCCAAGACACTGTGCTCTTCCCCACATGT